TCTATGCCGGGCTCTGCTTGCGTTACATTTGCACTTGCTTCTGGTGTGTCTACATCCATATCCACGACGCCATCCATTGAATTGCCAGAGTCTGGCGGCGGTGAAGAGTGTGCCGCGGGGACAGGATCAGGTTGAACATTGTCGAACGGATGCGTCAATTCAGCAGTGTTTGACCGCGCCGCGGGGACAGCATCGGGTTGAATATGGTCGACCGGATGCATCAAGTCATCAGTGTTCGTAGTGGCGGCATCCATAGCCTCCGGGACGGCGTCTGGTAATGTCGGGTCTGCACTCGGACTTGGCGCAGTCGTATCTCCCGGAGACACCGCGACCGTCAGGGTGCGCAAGACACGGTTGACTTCGTTATCCATCGCAGAAGACAGCGGAGTCTGAGATAAATCCGTTAGAATAAGAACCAAGTTACTCGAAAAGTGAACGACTAGGTAAGGGTACGGAGGGGAAATGTAGGCCACCTACCTGAACTTGCGAATCAGTCATTTGAACGTCCGCGTCTTTCTCGGCCGTCGGTGCAGCTTCGACCGCCGGGGGAGGTGGCGGCGGGAATGAAGGGCCATCCCTAAACTCTGCCGATACTGGAACTACAACGGGTGGGGTCGGAGCATGTGTGATTTCTACTTTACTCGGGGGAATTGGAGTGGTCAGGCCAGGTGAGGGCTGTGAGGACGGTGGAACTACAGTTGAAGAAAGACTACGGGGTTTGTCTTGAGGCCCTTCTACTGGTGTCTGAGTCGGGGTCCGTTTCTCATGACGCTGACTGAGGTCGGCTTGAATGATGGATAGATCAACCTTCCTTTTCTTGCGTTTAGGTTTGGGAGCCGCGGGTAATTGGGCAGAGCCAGAGGCATTGGCGGGCGGGGGGGCAGTCGCAGTCTGAGGAGTAACGGAAGCCTTCGTGGTCTCTGGCATTGTTGGCGCATTGGTCCTACTGCTCGCAACGGCTGTCGTTTCACCAGCCTAATAGGATCAGTTAGATGCAATTCGAGACGACCAGCTTGCTTTAATACCGGATTGAGGGTGCCAGCGCTGTCTTTTGGCGAGGAAGCGGCAGGAGGATTTGTGGGCGCAGATCCAAAAGTGTTGGCAACCGGGCTAGTCGGGGTCAATGCTGTAGCCAACGATGAAGAGCTCGGCCGCATCTGCTGGCTCGGCTGTATGGCATGGGGGGTAAACCTAAAGTCAATTATTATTTGCACAGCAAACGAACGATGGTTTATTTACGGCGGCGGCGGGGACAGTGCAACCTGCGGGCTGACAGAATATAGGGCAGGTGGGGGAACTTGGGCAGGGTCCAAAGCGTCGGCGACTTGGATGAGACGTTGGACGGACGCTACGGGAAGAATCAATTTGGGTGTCGCGCGCTTTGACCGATGTATAGACCTTGGAGATGGGGTTCAGCGAAGCGAGTTTGCCAACGCGCCAGAACCCGGATCACGCCGATGAAGTGCTCAGACAAGGCCTTGTACTCTGGGTGGGCGGCGTTTCGTGCTTTTTGTAGCGTCTCTTCTGCGATCTGTGATAAGTATATCGGCATGAGCTCTGGACATCTGTTCGCCGGGGGAAAAAGCACCAGGACGATCTGAATTATCTACATCGGATTTGAACGCGCCAGTCCGCGCTGAGGGGGCGACATGCGCACCTCGGGTCGGGCTTCATTGTAGTAGGCCTTTTCATTATCCAGCCATGGACTAAGCTTTATGGCGGCGTTGAAATAGTACTTGGGATCTGGCGTGGAGAAGGAGCGCTTAAAGGCGTCGAATGTCCTTGACCGACTTGAGCTCTTTGGGCAAAGAGACGAACGCGCTCAGCGCACCTCTGATTTTTTGCAAAGACGTCGTCCGCGCTCGACATTGGGGAAGGACGTCGCTGGATGCGGGTTTCGGTGAATGATCGGTGATGTCGGAGTTTCAAATTTGGTTCCGCCATTCCAGGTCTTGTCCTCCTCGAAAAATGGGATCCGTAGCTCAGTGGCTAGAGCGTCCGATTGCAATAATGCAAGTACATCGTTGTGAAGACTTGTTTGATATGTTTGATCTCCGTGTTCCGGCACGAGTTGAGTCTCGTCTGCGGACTTACAAGCTCTTGCTGCGTGTCTGTCTCTCCTTCTTTGCCTGCACACCACGAGCTCAATCGCCTCAAATGGCAAGGCAATACCGCCCGCCTCGATTTCCAACGGACAATCCTTCAACCCGCCGACGGGGAGCGGTTTCACAGCTTGGAGCGGTGGTTGGTCGACCCTAGCAGTCCGACCTTGGCCTCGCGAACACTCGGGTCCGTTGTAGAGTTTGTGTATCTTGATGCCTTTGTTGAGATTGTGTTGACACAGCTCGCTCACTGGAAACGAGACGCCCAGCCCTTCTTCGACACCCATGGAGACACCCATCCGGCCCACCTTCCGCTATTCCCTCGACTTGGAAGTGGGCAGCTCGTGTCTCGTGCCATATAGCTGTAGGACAACTGGCTTCGGGACGAACCAAGCATCATCGACTGCAAGGTCGTGAATACCCAGCAGCGCGTAGTTCCTCATCGCCTCCGTTCGGGACCTCTCAAACGAGTGTTATTTCATCGACGTCTTCTGCTCGCACCGCAGGAAACGCGCCATTGCCAACCCCGAAGATGGCCTTGATCACCCGCGCCTCGATGCTCACGCACGAATTCAACGACTTGAACCGAAAGCTGACCTTTGCGGCGCTTTTTACAGGTGCGAGCGAAATCCTAGGCGCACTAGATACGGTTCCCGACCAAAACGACGTACCAATCAAGCCCATCACAACTTCAGGCCCCCCCCTGCGCCCCGGTCACCTCATTAGCTCGTCCCTGCGGCCTCGTTCCCTTCCCCATGAACGCGCCGCGCACGTCGGGTGTATCTCGAGGCCGTGAGTGCCACCCTCGACCATCCCATTCCTCATCTCATCTCATACCCAGTCCATCGCATCACACACGTCCTGTACCTCGCTAGCTTTGAATTGGCCTGCGAGATTTTGTTCGACCTACGGCGTCTGTGAACGAAAGAACCTAGCCAAGCAAAGGTCACTTACTTCGCACTCGACGATGTGCCCCGCCCATATACGCGACTCCACGGCCGTCGACCATACCCTCTTCACTTTGGGCGACGGGGGTCCGTCGCTCAAAATTGTCACCCTGAGCGCGTTTTTGAGCGATGGCACCCACCGCTCAACCTCTTCTGAATTGAGTTAAAATTCTGTTCATAACACTGTGCTCACTAATTGTCTTGCCCATAGGTATCCGTCCCATGGAATCGGATATGGAACGGGCGCCGATCGTGCAAAGGAGTGGTGAGGCAGTAAATGGGTATACCACTTGTTTTCTCTTTCTCGTACTTGTTGTTTCTGTGCATGGAATGGTTTTTGTGATAAATAATACATGACGGGTCAAAACTCGCAACGAGCTCGTAAATATCCTGTTCAATGCAACAGGAACGGCGCCGCGGACGTGACGTTGAAAGGTAGGCAAGTCGTTTGGAAAGATTCAACTAAGGGGATTTCCTTGTAGATGTAGGTGGAACGAGTTGAATTTGTTGTGATACAAGAATCGTGATGAGCAGTGTGGTAAGAATAGGACACCGCGACGCGACCGTTGTCTGACTACTCGACGTTTTGAACGACGGTGGCCGTCGTCACGGCCGCGGCGGTTGTGCGCTTGGGACTCTTGTCGGGGGTTTGCTTGCTGGGTTGGGTTTCCGCGCTGGCGCGCTGGGGGTTTGACGGGTTGGTAGCGCTCTGGGTTTGCTGGTTGAGAGGTCCAGGTTTGCGTTTGCAGGATAGTTCCCCGCGAGCTTTAGCGGGGCGCCGTATTTGGTGGTCGTGGTGGTCGCTGTCGAGTCACTGTCGTCGTGTCGTGCTGCGCCGCTCGCGCTGTTGGGTGGTTGCAACGCGCTAGGTTCGATATGTCGATGCGGTGGTTGTCCGCGCTGGCGCGCAGGGCTCCGGGGTCGTCCCTTTCGCTTGTCGACAGTGCCGCTACGCAGTACCAGAAACCCCGAGGTTAGTCCTCGGGATTGGAACCGCGATGGATGGAGGCGAAGGAATCCTACACCTGAGACAATGGTGAGTAAAATGGATACAGATAGGGTGTTGAAAGGAATTGGTTACCCCTGGATGAGAATGAATCTCGACGGCCCTAGCGCGCTGGAGGTTTACTTGGGTGGCGCTCAGTTTGCGGGGGGGTGGGTTGTGCGGGTGGGCCGTGCGAAGTTCGGCGGGCACGTGTGGAGCACGGCGGTGGACGAACTGCGCGAGCGAGCTAGGTTGCGGGTGGTTCTCGCGCTGGCAACAGGGACTCGACGGCTCCTGAGAAGATATGTGTAAGGGAAGGAAGGGTGAGGGAAGGGAGAATCGTACCTGACCCTTCCCTTTGCAAAAGAGGTGCGCGTGCGATGCCTGTGAGAAGGCATACGAAAAGCACAAAAGGAAACAAGGGAAGAGAGATTACCTAGGTTGTGACGCCTGGGCAAGACCCTCCGCCGAGGTTACGCGGGAGACCGCTGCGATTGAATGCCCTTGCGCGTCGCCCTGCTTTGGGGGTGGCAGTTCTTGTCTGCGCGCGCTGAAGTTTTATCAGAAACAATGCCGCAAGGAAATGGCAAGAGTAATGAAGATGGACAGACTGCTGGTTGTGCAGGCCAGTCCCAAGTGCTGAGTCTTGGCACCAGCAGCCAGGTTCCAGGAAGGGATTGCAGAGGGATAGCATACCTTGTTCTGCCACTGGGCGATGGGGAGCATCGCCGAAACGTCGTCGTGCGTCAGTCGGCCTAGTCTTGTGGCGCGGCACGATGCGGGCGCGGGGTCGTGTTCGAGGTGGCAACACGGGTGGGCGGGATCGTCTACCATGAATGTTGTGGTTGTGGGGGCTTGTGAGCTAGATTCGGGAGGGAACGTCTGTGTTTGATTCAACGCCACCTCCGAATTAGGAAGGTGCTGACAAAGCCTGCTTTAACTGGCTCTACTTATCACAACGTCGTCGACACTATAGCTCAGTGGCTTAGAGCGTATGATTGCAAGGACTGCTATCATCATAAGGTCCCGCGTTCGAACCGCGGTAGTGTCTGTAGCATCTTGGGGGCACCTTTTTGCGGTATCCCTCTCCGTCCCCGGTTTCCTAGGGGCCAGGATAACACTTATTCGTACTTCCTTCATGTTCATCGCAAGGTCACAAGCATTCATGTTCATCGTAAGGTCACAAGCATATACTATCGCGCTACTTGATACTGCATTACAAAGTCAATTTATCCAACTTCAACAAACCCCATTCGTCATCTCCAACGGCGTGCAGTTTTTTGCCCTTTGCGGCAGCTGGTACATTGACATCCGGGGGCAGAGCATCGAGGTAAGATAAGAGAGCCTGTGCGACGGTATCCGCTTCCGAGTCGCCATCTTCCTCCACAGCCTGTGTAGTGCGGGTTGAGATGCGGGAAATAACGACGAGTAAAAGGTGGCTGACCGCCTCGATGACTTCTTTGGCACGAGCAATCGGGTCGACGAAAGGCGCTGGGCCCTTCTTTTCCTTCTCCCCTGCCTTGCGGTTACTTGCGTTGGCACGGCCGAGGCGGGTGTTTTCATGGCCGGTGTATGTCGTGGAGGGAGGAGGGGCCTCATCCTCGTGAACACGCTTCATAGCTTGATGTGCGGCGGCGGACGCACAGAAGGCAGATACGGCGTGTTTCCGTACGGCGGCGACCGTGTCCGCTCTGTATATCCAGTGAGAACCAACAAAAACACGAAAAGGGAAAGAGCTCACTCAAAATCACCCGCTGTGCAACGGTATGTGACCTTGCCACCCTCGACCTTGACCATTCTGAGTTCAAGGTCTTTCCATTCCGAATGGCACATGAGTCTACGCGAGCTGTTTAGTTTCGTTCTTCTCCTACTCGGCCGTACTCACATGTGCCGCTCGAACTTGGCAATCGAATCGAGAACAGGGTCGGGGCAGGGGTTCAAGTGCACATAGTACTTGCATTTAGGACAATGGTAATTGCCCTCTTCGCCCTCGTCCTAAACTTGCGATTAGACGGCAGTTTCGAGAAAGAGCAAACTAGGTTTACCTTGAACTTGGCGTATGCGCGCGCCGCAAGGACCGGTTGTACCAGATATTCGAGGAACGCACGGCGGACATCAGCGACGGGAATATTGAGGACGTCAACTTCCAGGCGCTCGTCGACCGGTGGCCCTTCAAAAATGCTGTCATCCTCTTCTTCGTTGGTCGCCGGAGCTTGTGCCGTGGCCTTGCCCTTGCCCTTGTTGTCGGGGGGATCTGTAGGTGCCCTGGGAGCGATTTCGGGTGCGGTGGGGCTCAGTGTCATGCGGTCCAGGAATGTATAGAGTCGATCTTGGTCGCCGAGGTCATCGTCATCTCCATCTCCGTCTGTAAGCTCGAGCAACGCCACGGTCGAGCGTGCCGTCTGTAGATTGGCGGCCCATGTCTCAAGCGCGGCCTTGTCGGTAATTGGCGGAGGGGTAACCTGGGCTGTGACGGTGTTAGGAGAACGAAAAAAAAGCTCAAGGTTTAAAATATACACACCGAGGGCATCGTCAACAGCCTGCTGCAAGTGTCTTCCGGGGGCGTTAGATTGCAATGCCCGCAGCAGGTCATTGCGTTGTTGGGCGGTACCCGCGATGGGACCTTCGATGATGGCCCAATTTCGGTCGTTCTTGTCGTCTTCCTTTTGCCGACGGGTCAATGCCTTTTTCTTCTCAAGAAAGTCCTTGTTCGCCTTGAGATAGGCGTCGAGGACCTATCTGGCACATTAGGATCGAAACTAGGTGTGTATGACAAGTATTCGACTTGCCAGCGCTGTGGTAGCCTTGTCCCAGGGTGGTAGAAAGGCCAGCGGGAGCTTGCCCGGGTTCTTGACCGTTTCATCGCCGCAGGCCAACTTGAAGATGAAATTGGCCTTCGTCATATGATAAGTTTTCCCGGTGGCGTTGAAACACAAAAGATATGTATTCCATGCACTCTCGCGCGCGACAGTCAACGGTCCTAGATCGGGATGGTCCTTCAACACCATCAGCGAATGAGTTGCGATATGGGGAGGAGGCTTACGAGGATGGGGTCAGGACCCTTCTTTTTCGATGCGATGATTGGTTCGGCCCTTGCAGCCTCCTCTGCAAGTGACCGACGCAGCAAGCAGCCGAGTGCCGGGCCCATAAAGGCATGACGTTGATCATTTTTCTAAGAAGAAGGATGAAGATGTGCGTACAGGTAGCGACAAGATTTTTACCTTGATCTGGAAACCCGCGGTGGTTTCCGCATTTCCAGCGCCCTCACCGAGCCGGAGGTTGACAAGGGTAAAGTTGCCCATGTTCTTGGAGTAGTTTCCGCGAAAAACCCCCGTCTCGGTGTGGTTGAGGATGTCTTTTGCAAATTCCGTTCCAAGTTGCAACCCGAACTAGGGAAAAGGTAAGCGCCGCACAGTATAATGTCAAAAGATACTGACCGTGTTTCCGCTCTCACGACGCACACCCGCGAGCCCGACACGGGGTAAGTCGCTTTTGCTCGCCCAATCCCGGAGCGAGTCGGACGCAGCGCGACTCATCGCTGCTACATGGGGCTCCACGAACTCGCGCCCGCCCGGCGCGGCCTCGAGGAAGCTGCGACACAAATTTTGAGATTGAGAGAGAAGCAGGGATCAGCATACATACAACGGCGTATTGGCATACTTGGGATCAATTTCGATTTGGGCGGATTGGTCCGCGCACAGCTCTGCGATGGTCTAGATGGGTTAGTTGGGAATCGGCTCTTTTTGCAGAACACGCACCTCATAAGGTTTTTTGAACCGTTTCAAAAGAAACAGGTGGCTCATGATCCAGGGCGTCGGGTCGAAAAGCACGTTGTGTGCCAGCATCACCCCGTCAGCGGTGAACTCTTGAAAACTCCCAGTCACCGTGCTATATTTGTTCTGCATGTCGTCGGCAACCGAACTCGCGGGGCGGGGACACAAAGACACGCACTTTATAGTTCAAAACCTTTATGCGGATTACCCAATCCATGTAACCGCGACAAAAGATGGTGATGTGGCCGCAGAGGAGGACCTGTAAAACGGTAAGATGTAGGATTGAACATACAAAGAGTACTCGCATAGTCCAACTCTCGCCACATCTTGTGGGTGGGGCCCATACTGGAACCTCGTAGAGTGAAATGAAAAGTGAAGAGAAATCTCGTCCCATTCTGAATGATCACTTGACGTCCCGTATGGCGAGACGCGTCGAGCATGGTGTCAATAACAATTTGTAACTCGGCGCGGCCGAAATAAATTTTGGGGTTGTAGTGGCGATCCAAATTGAAGTCCTTTATTACTGGGGAGGGTTCAGCGATTAAAAGATGGTTATATGAGCAGTACTTACTTTGAAGTAGCTGTGCTTTTAATTTCTGGTACAAGCCCTCTTTGATCAGCAGGGAGAGGCCACATTCAGTCCCGTCCTGTTCGCGGGTATAGGACACGATGGCGTGAAGAAAGTGGCCACACCAGCCGGAGACTGTGCGCGCTTTCAATCTCTCCTTGCGCTTTTGCTTTTTGGCGGTCGAAACCTGCGTCGAAAGCTTCAGTGCACGAGTAAAAGGGAGAGGAAAAAAATTACGAGGATGTAGAGGAATTTATCCCAATACTTTAAAACGACATCGCGGTCCCAGTGACATTCGGGTGAGAGATCCTTGTCGGCGAGGAGTAGAATGCCCGCCCAGTCGGACAAAATCTTGATGCGACGCGCCTGAGTAAGAGGACTTTCTTGCGACCCAACTTCTTCCGCCCACTTTTCAGCTTCGGCCATGAGGGCCTCGATCGGGTTCACGGTGGGGTCCTCGAGTGTCAGTCGGAGTTGGGCCTGCAGGGCCATGGATTTTTTCTTCGCCTTTGCGTGGACCGCATCGGGGACGTCGGCGGCGATGGAGGCGCTGCCTCGGGAGGTTGAGGCCTGCGCCATTGGCGAGGGCTCGGCCAAGGCCTTGGCAGAGCGGCGGACGATGGTGGCAGCGGAGGGGTCGAATGTTTCCCAACCGTCCATGATGGTAGAAGAAGAGCCAGCTATTTGTTCGTGTGATCATGAGCTTTACATACAACCGCGACGATAATTGCTTTGATGTTCAGACTTTTATTGCGCAGACAACATAGTTTAGATTACATGAGGTGAACAGCCTGACAATGACCGGCCTCGATCTCGAGCTGGCTCGACGGCGAGGTTCTGTGCAGGGACATCAGTGAAGAAAAGCAACCAGAGGAAAGGAGACCGTACCATGGCCGTCCATATCCCCAGGTTCTGTCGCATTCAGTAGTGCCGCCGTCCGTTGGTCATCGGGCCATATTGCGCACGCAGCAGTTCAGCCGGTCGTCCATAAATCGTCGGGTGGCCAGTCGACCGTGGTTTCAATGCCGAGGTGCGCGAGGGATTCGCTCCAAGGGTTTGAATAAGAAATTGAGGTGCATGGCCTGTTGCAAGCCAATACGATAGCAGCTGGGTTTGAATAACGAAGACACAAATGATGCCGAGAGCTGTACGAGGGTGATTAGTGACAGGATGTAAGACCGTCCGAACAAAAGCATACACCTCCTCGATGTTCGCAAGTGGAGCCGATACGGTGGACACGGTCAATGGCTTGACTTTGCGTCGCCGCGTTTGTTATAATTCGTCGTCAGTAGCCGCTGCGGCGCATTGAGGAGAACTTGAGCTAACCATGAAAACATGATTCGCTGTGGTGAGCTGCGACAGGATGAGTACTTGAAACAAAACGCAGGCCTTCAAACGACGATGCACGTTCAGCCCGACCCCCGCCTGCCTTGAAGATTTTGATGGAGCACGGCTCGCCGCAGCCTACAGAGAGCTCAGGGATTGTGATTGCAACAAGTCGACTCGACTCACTGAATGAGCATCACCAAGATATGCGCCTAATTCTTGCCGACAAGACCCAGCTGAAGGTCCCGCTTTGCAGAATTGAGCAAGCTATTGTAGATCTTGCCCTCCAATGACGAGAATTCGAGCTGCTCCACGAAAAAAGCGCTCATTGAATCGCAAAGTCACAGAGTATCGATTGATTGTGTATGAATGGAAGTCCTGGAA